AAATAAGGCAGGTAAAGAGAGACACAGAGGGACAATATATAATGATCAAAGGGACACTTCATCAAGAAGAAACAACGCTTATAAATATCTATGCACCCAACACAGGAGCACCAAGATTCATAAAGCAACTATTAACAGACCTGAAGGAAGATGTTGAAAACAACACAATAATAGTAGGGGACCTCAACACCCCACTCACATCAATGGACAGATCATCCAGACAGAAAATCAACAAGGAAATAGTGGAGCTAAATGAAAAACTAAAACAATTGGACTTAATAGACATATATAGATCACTTCATCCCAAAACAGCAGAATACATGTTCTTCTAAGTGCGCATGGAACATTCTCAAGGATAGACCATATGTTGGGAAACAAGGCAAGCCTCTACAAATTAAAAACAATTGAAATAATAACAAGCATCTTTTCCGATCATAATGCTATAAGGCTAGAAATTAATTACAAGAAAAAAGCTGAGAAAGGCACAAGGATGTGGAGACTAAACAATACGCTACTGAACAAGCACTGGATCATTGAAGAAATTAAAGAAAAAATCAAAAAATACTTGGAGACAAATGAAAATGATAACATGCCATACCAACTCACATGGGATACAGCAAAAGCTGTATTAAGAGGAAAATTCATCGCAATACAGACACATCTTAACAAACGAAAAATACCAAATAAGCAATCTTAGACTACACCTAACCAAATTAGAGAAAGAAGAACAAACAAAGCCCAAAGTCAGCAGAAGTAGAGAAACAATAAAAATCAGAGCAGAAATAAATGCTATGGAAACAAAAAAGGCTGTAGAAAGGATCAATGAAACAAGAGCTGGTTCTTTGAGAAGATAAATAAAATTGACAAACCCCTAGCAAGACTTACAAAGAAAAAAAGGGAGAAAGCTCAAATAAACAAAATCAGAAATGAAAGAGGAGAAATAACAACAGACTCTGCAGAAATACAACGGATTATAAGAAAATACTACGAAAAATTATATGCCAACAAAATGGATAACCTAGAGGAAATGGATAAATTCTTGGACTCCTACAATCTCCCAAAGCTCACTCAAGAAGAAGCAATTTGAACAGACCAATCACAAGGAAAGAGATTGAAACAGCAATCAAAAACATCCCAAAGAATAAAACCCCAGGACCAGATGGCTTTCCTGGGGAATTCTACCAAACTTTCAGAGAGGATTTAATACCTATCCTTTTCAAGCTATCCCAAAAAATTAGGGAGGATGGAACACTTCCTAACACATTCTACGAGGCCAATATCACGCTGATACCAAAGCCTGACAAGGACACCACGAAAAAAGAGAACTACAGGCCAATATTGCTGATGAACATAGATGCAAAAATTCTAAAGAAAATTTTGGCAACCAGAATTCAGCAATTCATCAAAAGGATCATACATCATGATCAAGTGGGACTGATACCAGGGACACAGGGATGGTTCAACATCTGCAAATCAATCAACATGATACACCACATCAACAAACTGAGGAATAAAAACCACATGATCATCTCAATAGATGCAGAGAAAGCATTTGACAAGATTCAACAGCCATTTATGATAAAAACTCTGAACAAAATGGGCATAGAAGGGAACTACCTCAACATAATAAAGGCCATATACGACACACCCACAGCCAACATCATACTCAATGGGCAAAAACTGAGCGCCATCCCCCTGAAATCAGGAACGAGACAAGGATGCCCTCTATCACCACTCTTATTTAACATAGTACTGGAGGTCCTGGCCAGAGCAATCAGGCAAGAAAAAGGAATAAAAGGAATCCAAATAGGGAGGGAAGAAGTGAAACTCTTGCTGTTTGCAGATGACATGATATTATATATAGAAAACCCCAAAGAATCCATTGGAAAACTGTTAGAAGTAATCAACAACTACAGCAAAATTGCAGGGTATAAAATCAATTTGCATAAATCAGTAGCATTTCTATACTCTAATAATGAACTAACAGAAAAAGAACTCAAGAACACAATACCATTCACAATCGCAACAAAAAGAATAAAATACCTCGGGGTGAATTTAACTAAGGAAGTGAAAGACCTATACAATGAAAATTACAAGGCCTTTCTGAGAGAAGTGGATGACGACACAAGGAGATGGAAAGACCTTCCATGTACATGGATTGGAAGAATAAACATAGTTAAAATGTCCATTCTACCTAAAGCAATTTACAGATTCAACGCCATCCCAATCAGAATCCCAATGACATTCTTTACAGAATTAGAACAAAGAATCCTAAAATTCATGTGGGGCAACAAAAGACCCCAAATTGCTAAAGCAATCCTGAGAAAAAGGAACAAAATGGGAGGCATCACAATTCCTGACTTCAAAACTTACTACAAAGCTACAATAATTAAAACAGCATGGTACTGGTACAAAAACAGATGCACAGATCAATGGAACAGAACTGAAAGCCCAGAAATAAAACCACACATCTATGGACAGCTTATCTTTGACAAAGGAGCTGAGGGCCTACAATGGAGAAAAGAAAGTCTTTTCAACAAATGGTGCTGGGAAAACTGGAAAGCCATATGTAAAAGAATGAAAATTGACCATTCTTTCTCACCATTCACCAAAATAAACTCAAAATGGATCAAAGACCTAACTGTGAGACCTGAAACCATAAGGCTTCTAGAAGAAAAGATAGGCAGTACACTCCTTGACATCAGTATTAAAAGGATCTTTTCGAACACCATGTCTTCTCAGAGAAGGGAAACAATAGAAAGAATAAACAAATGGGACTTCATCAGACTAAAGAGCTTCTTCAAGGCAAACGAACACAGGATTGAAACAAAAAAACAACCCACCAACTGGGAAAAAAATATTTGCAAGTCATATATCTGACAAAGGCTTAACATCCACAATATATAAAGAACTCATATAACTCAACAACAAAAAATCAAACAACCCAATCAAAAAATGGGCTGGAGACATGAACAGACATTTCTCCAAAGAAGATATACGGATGGCCAATAGGCACATGAAAAGATGTTCATCATTGCTGATCATCAGGGAAATGCAAATCAAAACTACACTAAGATATCACCTTACACCCATTAGAATGGTAAAAATATCTAAAACTAATAGTAACAAATGTTGGAGAGGTTGTGGAGAAAAAGGAGCCCTCATACACTGCTGGTGGGAATGCAAACTGGTGCAGCCACTATGGAAAACAGTATGGAGACTCCTCAAAAAATTAAAAATAGAACTACCATACGACCCAGCTATCCCACTACTGGGTATCTACCCAAAGAGCTTAAAGTCAGCAATTCCAAAAGTCCTAGGCACCCCAATGTTTATTGCAGCATTATTTACAATAGCCAAGACATAGAAGCAACCTAAGTGCCCATCGACACATGACTGGATAAAGAAGACGTAGTACATATATACAATGGAATACTACTTGGCCGTAAAACAGAACAAAATCATCCTATTTGCAACAACATGGATGGGCCTTGAGGGAATTAAGTGAAATAAGCCAGTAAGAGAAGGACAATCTCTGTATGACTCCACTCATATGAGGAATTTAAAAATGTAGACAAAGAGAACAGATTAGTGGCTACCAGGAGAAAGGCGGAATGGGGGTGGGCACAAAGGGTGAAGTGGTGCACCTACAACACGACTGACAAACAAAAATGTACAACTGAAATTTCACAAGATTGTAACCTATCATTAACTCAAAAAAAAAAAAAAAAAGAAATGGACAAATGGAAAAGATAAGAAAAACAGATGATTAGTCCAGGAGGTCCAAGATCTAACTAACTACAATTCCAAGAAGAGAAAATACTAGAGGAGGAAATTATCAAAGAGATCACATAAGAAAATTTCCTAAAGCTGAAGGACTGAAACTTTTAAGCTTGAAAGAGTAAAAGTATCTTCAAACAAAAACAGATCTATAAAGGATTGGGAATCAGAATGGCAAGGGACTTGTCAACAGAAACACTCAATGCTGGATGAAAATGGAGCAAAATCCTGAGTGATGATTTTCAACTTCAAAACCTCACTCAAACAATCAAACAAGTATAAGGGTATAATAAGCAAGTTTTCAAATATGCAGTATTTCCAAAAAAACTTACCCTCATGCACCCTTCCTCAGGAAGGCACTAGCAGATGGTCACCAAAACAAGAGAGCAAGGGCATAAACTAAGAAAAAGGAAGATATGGGATCTAGGAAACAAAGGATCCAACACTGAAGAAGCCAAGAGGATTCCAAGGATTGCGGTAAAGGGAAAGTTCCATGACAGCTATGCCCAGAGAACTACCAATACAGATGGGAACAGGGGGATAGAAGGTCCCTATGGGATGCCTCTAAGAAAATAAATGGAAGTGACACATTATCTAATAAGTGTGACCACAGAACATAGGCCTGAAAGATGTTTTACAGAGTTGTTGGAAGGTGTGCAGAGATAATAGCAGATTTGATAAAAAAAACGAAGCAAAATGAGAGGATGGGGAGAAGGAAAGAAGAGCAAAATAGGAAGTCAGTACATAAGTCTAAAACTGCTGAATTAAGTGATAGCAGAATATGCTTATTACTTAGAAATATAGAGACCAGAACAAAGAGCTAAAAGAGTTACCTCTGAAGAGAATTGAAAAAGCTCTCCTTTGCACCCTCACCAAGCAGAAATAAAACAGGAATAACAATACTAAAACATATCTCACATTCTAAGAGAACTTATTTTAAGCAGAAATCTGGATTTTTATAGCAATTAAGAATATAATTTGGCTCATAGAAGCAGACAACAGATTGGTGGTTACCAGAGGGGAAGGGGGGTGGAGAGACGGAGAAAAAGGTAAAGCGGGTCAATTATATGCTGACAGATGGAAACTACACTTTTGGTGGTGAGCACGCTGTAGTATACAGATGTTAAATTATAAAGTTGTACACCTGAAACCTATACAACGTTACCTCAAAAGAAGAAGAAGAAGAATATAGTTTCGGGGAGACAGGGGGTGGGGATTACCTTTTTAAGCACCTTCATGGCAAATATTTTCCCAGTATTTGCTCCTGTTACTTTTCGTACTTGAAAAACCTGGATAAAAAAATGAAAGTATCTGTGTTATTAAAACTAAACTATGCTAGTCACACTCCCTTAATTCCCATTTATAAGAAACAAAAGATACAGTAGTTTATATTCCTATAAAAACTATTACTATTAAGGATGTGTGCAAAAATGATGATCTAAAAGAGCAGACTATATTAAAGATTTAGTAGTGAAATCTATTACACAACATGGAACTTTCCTGTTTGGTCTGCTGACATCTGGTGGCAAAGTTGGGCAATGACTGTCTAACGATAAGTACTCCGTGTTACTAAATACATAAAATACAAGTTTGCTTAGAAAATGCCATAATCAGGGTTCCCAGAAGCATAATACCAAACATAAAAATTATAAAATATTTCATAAATTTCTTTCAGGGAAGCCACTGTTCTTGCTTCAGATAAAACTATTTAATAATAGTTGACAGGAACTACCATTTACCTATTCCTTAAAATGGCTAACTATAAAAAATTTTCATGCAACAGCTGCAATATGTGTTAAATATGTAGACTCAAAAATGCAACATGTAGACTCATACCATATGTAGACTCAAAAAATATGCAGACTCAAAGTGCACGTGTTACACGTTCAAGATGATCAGAACATTAGAACGTGTCCTTAAGCCTAAGAATGAACTACAAATGTCATGCTTTGCAAAAATTAACACTACACAACAGTATAAATAATTCTTAAACTTAATCCTAACTACTAAAATGTATCCAAATTCTGTCTTTTGATAAAGAAGGGCTAGGTATAAATTTTCTTGGGCAGAACATGCAAAGGTGAGGTCTTAAATTAGAAAGCCTTAGGCAAAACTATGAAACTAAGAAGTTCTCTTCATTTTCTTCCCCCCTCTTATGTTCTTCAGCTTCCCTAACTCTATTGCTCCAGATACTACAAGTCAAAGAAAACCAATTCAGATTAAGGTCTCAGTAACAGATAACAACTTACTGTGCCATGCCTCTTATAAGTAAGGAGTGATTTGTTTGTTTTTTTTAAGAGGATACCTACAGAGGGTACCATTTAACCAAAGGAAGGAACGAACCCTCTAATAATAGACTTCGCCTGGCACAGTTGCCTATTCATTCAACAAATATTGACCGAGTGTCTATTATGTGCCAGGTTTTTACCTGTATGGTGGTAGGAAGAGGAGAACTTCTGTACATCCCTGAAATAACACCAGGTAAGTGATCACATCCTTTGCTGGTAGCTAGCAAACAAAGACTGAAGAGGACTGCTGGAACCAGGGTATAAAATTAATCTACCCAAGACAGACAACAGCTCTCATTTCAAAAATACTTCCTACCTTTCCATAGCCCCCTTTACCAAGTACCCGAAGTAGCTCAAAACATTCTGGTCTGATTTTTTCTGGCCCTCTGTTCACACTAGTTTCTGAGATTTCAAATTTCTCACAATGTTCCATGCCACTGAGGAGAAAAGCAAAACCAAAAGTAAATTTGCAAAAAGTTAAATTACCTTCAGCATATTGTTAGAAAGAGGAGAAAGAGAAATGTAATCCAATTAAGTATAAGGTAAAAAGTACATGATAGCAAATTTAGTATCTATGCTCTAAGTAAACTAATGATTCAATGACATGGTAGGTAACGATTAAGATGGCTTGATAATTGTTTATCTGCTTCTTTACAGAATGTGCTATTAATTTATTTTCATAAGCATCAGCCATCCCCAAACTAAGATAAATCAGAGCAAGTTTATTAAATTGACAAACAAAAAAAGCCTTCTGTTATTCAAATTAAGTTCATTTAAAGTGTCTATGAGATTAGGTATTATCCCACCTCATTTGGCAACTTCAGCAGAAAATCTGGGAGCTTTCTAAAAGTACCCAATTAGTTCAAGTCTTTATGCTACAAAAATTCTCGCTAATAAAATATATTCATGCATCTTTCCATATTTGCTATTAGCTTGATTTAAAGACTCCAAAAAGGGTGGCAATTTTGTCTGTCACTTAAATGCTTTCTACATGAGTGATCTTCTCAGTCTTCCTCCCAACTCAAGGCTTTTTACTTGAGGGTGGGGTACAGAGCAGATTAATCACCATACTTGCCTAACGGAGCTTGCCTAAAATGACTTAAGAATGCACAAATCTCGGTTTGAATGATATATTACAAGCAAAACAAGAAGCATTTAACTTTTGGGAGCATTTCTTAAAATTTTATTTTTCAGTAAGAAAAGGTGATTATATTAAACTTATAAAAATTCCCAACCCATTCAGGCTCATATTTGGTATATTCTGAATTTGAATGAATATCTTTTTTTCAAAATTCACACATGATCTCAAAACCCTGGATATGTTATTATATTGTTACCAAACTCAATAAACCAAGTCTATATACATGACTAGATATTTAAGAACAGGTTACTTGAATCACATGATGGCTATGAACTGGAGCTGATATAACCGACTTGTAAAAAAGACAGCACAATAAAATCTTTTCATATAAACTTACAGTTCATATGGTCCAACTCCCCCATGGTCCATGCTTTCATTTAACTGACCCTGAAAAATATGTTAAAGTTTTTAAATATAAATAATCTCATAAACACAAAATAAAAATGTTTAATGCTTCACCCCATTACTTCAGGAGAAGAAATGAAATAAACCAGCTTAAAAATTCTCTATACTTTAATAACAGGCAACTGAGGTGATGAACAAAATAAGGTACACAAACAATACTGTGGGGTTTCACTTTTAATTTTATATGACAACTAAGCTACAGATGCTACTCACAAATGATCTACAAATAAAACCAGATGATTTTTCCTTCAAAAATTACATTTATTAAAAATATATATTTTGTGTATTATGAAACTAAAGGCACTACATTCTGAGTTCCTAAATCAAATGATTTACACAAAAAGCTATTCTGATATGTTTCTAAAACACAAGACTAACATAATGCTATAAGCCTTAAATGTAACTACAATCTAACTAAAAGCCTAAAGTAACCACACCCAGTCCAAGATATTGTAGTGTACCATGTGGCTGATCAAAGCAAAATAATTAAGGAACACTCTCAAATTGTTAGGAGTCATGTTGGCCAAACATTTATTCTGATCATAGTATAAATGGGTACAAAATTTAATTAACCTTCTGTACACTAGCAATGAACAATTCAAAAATGAAATTAAGATAACCCGTTCACAATAGCATCAATAAGAATACTTAGAAAAAAATTTAACAAAAGAAGTGCAAGACTTGTACACTTGATAACTATAAAAGACTGCTGAAAGAAATTAAAGAAGACCTAAATAAATCAAAAGACATTCCATGTTCATGGATCAGATGACTTAATATTGCTGAGATGGCAATACTAACCAAATTGGTCTACAGATTCAACTCAATCCTATAAAAATCCTAGGTTCCTTTCTTGCAGAAATTGACAAGCTGATCCTAAAATTCATACAGAAATGCAAGGAACTCAAAATAGCCAAAACAATCTCAAAAAAGGAGAACAAAGATGGAGAACTGAAATGTTCTGATTTCAAAATGTACTACAAAGCAACAGCAATCAAGACAGTGTGGTACTAGCTTAAGGACAGTCACAGATCAGTGAAATAGAACTGAGAGTCCAGAAATAAACCCTTACATTACAGTCAAACGATTTTTGACAAAGATGCCAAGAAAATTCAATGAAAGTCAGTCTTTCAAGAAACGGTGCTGGGACAACTGGATAGTCACATGCAAAAAAATTACTTTGGACTCCCACCTCACACCAGACACAAAAATTAACTCAAAATGGATCAAAGACTTAAAGGCAAGACCTGAAACCATAAAACTCCTAGAAGAAAATATAGGGAATAGACTCTTTGAGATCAGTCTTGGAAGGATCTTTTTGAATACCATGTCTACTCAGACAGGGGAAACAAAAGAAAAAATAAACACGTGGGACTTCATCAGACTAAAGAGCTTCTGCAAGGCAAAGGAAACCAGGAATAAAGGAAAAAGATAAACCATCAACTGGGAGAAAATATTTGCAAATCATATATCCAACAAGGAGTTAATCTCCAAAATATATAAAGAACTCACACAACTGAACAACAAAAAAACAAACAACTCAATCAAAAAATGAGCAGAGGATATGAACAGACATTTTTCCAAAGACATACAGATGGCCAATAGGCACATGAAAAGATGTTCCACATCACTAATCATCAGGGAAATGCAAATCAAAACCACATTAAGATATCACCTTACACCATCAGAATGGTTATAATCACCAAGATAAAAAATAACAAATGTTGGAGAGGATGTGGAGAAAAGGGAACCCTCATACAACTGCTGGTGGGAACGCAAACTGGTGCAGCCACTATGGAAAACAGTATGGAGATTTTTTTTTAATAAATAGAAATACCATACGACCCAGCTATCCCACTACCGGGTATTCATCCAAAGAACATGAAATCAACAATGCAAAGAGACGTATGCACCCCTCTGTTCATTGTAGCATTATTCACTTTAGCTAAGAAATGGAAGCAGCCCAAGTACCTGTCGACTGGATAAAGAAGATGTGGTAGATATATATATATACACAACGGAATACTATTCAGCCATAAAAAAAGACAAAATCATCCCATTCGCAACAACATGGATGGAACTTGAGGGTATCATGGTAGTTGAAATAAGCCAGACAGAGAAAGACAAACACTGTATAATTTCACTTATATGTGGAAGACAAAATAACATCGACAAAAAGAACAGTTTAGTGGTTACCAGAGGGGAAGTGGGTTGGAGGGTGGGCACAAGGAGTGAAGGCGCACATTTATATGGTGACCGACAAATAATAATGTACAACTGAAATGTCACAATGTTATAAAGTATTATGACCTCAATAAAAAAACAATTAACTCGAAAGGGATCATAGACCTAAATGTAAGAGCTAAAACCATAAAACTCTTAGAAGAAACGTCAGAGGGAATAAATGTTCAATTCTTGGTGTAGGCAATGATTTCTCAAGACACATCACCAAAGGCACAAATAATTAAAGAAAAAAATCAATAAACTGGACTTATTCAAAATTTAAAACTTGTGCACTTCCAAAAACACTATCAAGAAAGTGAAAAGGCAACGAACAGGGGCCGGCCCCATGGCTGAGTGTTTAAGTTAGCATGCTCCGCTTTGGCGGCCCAGGGTTTTGCCAGTTCAAATCCTGGGCGCAGACATGGCACCGCTCATCAGGCCATGTTGAGGCGGTGTCCCACATGCCACAACTAGAAGGACCCATAACTAAAAATACACGACTATGTACCGGGGGACTTTGGGGACAAAAAGGAAAAATAAAATCTTAAAAAAAGAAAACCCACAGCATAAAAGTATATAAAGAACTTGTACAACTCAATAATAAAAAAAACTCTAATTTTTAAAAAATGGGTTAGGATCTGAATAGCCATTCCTCCAAAGAAGATAAACAAATGGGAAAATAAGCACATAAAAAGATGTTCAACGTCATTAGCCATTAGAGAAATGAAACCCAAAACCTCACTGAGATACCACTTCATATCCACTAGGATGGCTATAATTAAAAAGACAGAAAAATAAAAATTTTGGCAAGGATGTAGCCAAATTAGAACCCTCATACACTTCTGGTGGGAATGTAAAACGGTGCAACCAGTTTGGAAAACAGTTTGGCAGTTTCTTCAAAAATTAAACAGAGACTTACCATATAATCCAGCAAATCTACTCCTAGGTACCTACTCAAAAGGGATGAAAATATATGTTCCACAAAGACTTGGGCACAAATATTCATAGCAGCATTATTCACAACAGCCCAAAAGTGGAAACAACTCAAATGAACATCAAACGGCGAATTGATAAATAAAATGTGGTTGATCCATACAATGGAATACTATTTGGCCATAAAAAAGAATGAGGTGCTGATACATACTACAACATCGAAGACTCTCAAAAACATTCTGTTAAATGAAAGAAGCCAGACAGAAAAGGCCACATATTGTATAATTCCATTTATATGAAATGTCCGGAAAAGACAAATTTATAGAGATGGGAAGTAGACCAGTGGAAGCTGGGGGTGGCAATGAGAAGTGACTTAAATCGGCCCAAAGTTTCCTTTTAGGGTGACAGAAATGTTCTAAAACTAAATTGGGGTGATGGTCGTACAACTCTATACTAAAAGTCAGTGAATTGTAAAAAAAATAAATAACTGGGCAGCAGAAATTGTTATTAATATTACAAAATATAGCTTTAAAATGAGTATTCTTGAATACAGCCTGATTATGAACTCTTTCAATTTATACAAAAGGATATCACTTAATTGAAAATAGGCCCTAAAGAATTAGAAGTTTTTATCGAAAACTTTAGAATTATTCAAAAAATATTTAAGCAAACATATCTTTCTTCACAGTGAAGATACACAAAGAAAACTGATAGTATTTTCACACAGTGGGTGCTCAAATACCCAAGAAAAAACAAGTTTTTAGTCATAACTTGCTCATGGTATGAACAAGTCAGGAAGATGTTTAACACCAGGGACATATGTTTCATGACTAGACTGAGGCAAATGGATGGGGCAGTATCAAGGGGAAAAAAATTCTTGCAGTTTCAACTTGATACAGTTTCTTTCGGGCGTGGGGGCACAGTAAGGGTGGTTATGGTTAAAAGTTTTTTGTCTCTGATGCTTCATATAATCACATATGGTGGCTTCACTTTAAAGACAAAAGACTAACTTCTTTCAAATGTGATAAAACTGGTATTATATAATAGTTTTTTCTTTAATGGTAATTCTACTTAATTCTTAATTAAAGACCACAGAGTAGTTAACACTGAACCATGACTTTGAAGCCACCTAGAAAGATATGCCCTGTGGCTATGTTTCATTTCCGGAGTCAGCCAGGCCTGTATTACCACCTGCATCTGTGCTTATAACTTCCTACAGTTGAAGCATTTGAGGCACAACTCTTTTCTGCTACTCAGTGTTACCTTCAGAAAAGTCTCACACCAGAAGCATTAAGCTAACGTTATACAATACACACTGACAATTCTCTCATAGGAAATTTTATTCAGATTTTTTCCTGCTGCCTTTAACTTTACAATCCACTCAATGCTTTTTTGTGTGTGCCACTATGATTGACAAAGTGGAATCCTGGTCATCTAAGTTACTGTACAAGATACACTGTTTCAAACTAGCCCACCAGAATAACTATTCTCAAAGTTTTAAATTAAAATTGTATATAAATTCAAGTTAATATGTCTAAAGTCCCAATCAAAGAGAGCATATGTTATAAAAATCTAAGTAAATTGTTACAGAATGGGTGAAATATCCTTAATCTAGATATTCATTAAATCATTTATTCATTTGTCTGGCTGTTCACAGACATGTCCTTATAAAGCAAGATTCAGTAATTCAGATGAATTGGGGGAAGAGGGGTGAACCTTGCCCAAAATCTTGGGCTTTTTAAAAATGCTTTACATTAACTTCCAAAATATATGAAGAACTCATACAACTCAACAACAAAGACAACAAAGACAAATAACCCAATTAAAAAAATGGGCAGAGGGTATGAACAGACATTTTTCCAAAAAAGATATACAGATGGCCAACAGGCACACAAAAAGATGTTCAATGTCACTAATTGTTACAGAAATGCAAATCAAAACAACGAGATATCACCTCACATTTGTTAGAATGGCTATAATTAACAAGATAAGAAATAAGTGTTGGAGACGATGTGGAGAAAAGGGAACCCACATACACTGCTGGTGGGAATGCAAACTGGTGCAGCCACTATGGAAAACAGTATGGAAACAGACTTCTCAAAAATTAAAAATAGAGGGGCTGGCCCCGTGGCCGAGTGGTTAAGTTCGCGCGCTCTGCTGCAGGCGGCCCAGTGTTTCGTTGGTTCGAATCCTGGGCGCGGACATGGCACTGCTCATCAAACCACGCTGAGGCAGCGTCCCACATGCCACAACTAGAAGAATCCACAACGAAGAATATACAACAATGTACCAGGGGGTGTTGGGAGAAAAAGGAAATAATAAAATCTTTAAAAAAAAAAAAAAATTAAAAATAGAAATACCATACGATCTAGCTATCCCACTACTGGGTATTTATCCAAAGAACATGAAATAAACAATACAAAGAGATCTATGCACCCCTATGTTCATCACAGCATCATTCACAATAGCCAAATGTGGAAGTAACACAAGTGCCCATCAACTGATGAATGGATAAACAAGATGTGGTGTGTGTGTGTATACATATATATATATATATATACAATGGAATATTAGCCATAAAAAAAGACAAAATCGTCCCATTTGCCACAACGTGGACGGACCTTGAGGGTATTATGTTAAGTGAAATAAGCCAGAAGGAGAAAGACAAACTCTGTATGATTTCACTCATATGTGGAAGATAAACACACACATGGATAAGGAGAACAGACTGGTGGTTACCAGAGGGGAAGTGGGTGGAGGGGTAGGGGAAAGGAGTAAAGGAGCATATATGTTTGGTGACGTATAAAAACTAGACTACTGGTGGTGAGCACGATGAAGTCTATATAGAAACTGATATATAATAACGTACACCTGAAATTACACAATGTTGTAAACCAGTATGACCTCAATAAAATAAAAAAGTAAAAAAATTAAAAAATAAAAATGCTTTATAGTATCTATTACAATGCTAGATAAGCATTGATGTTTTTCTATAATTTTTCATAATCGTAATATTTGAATACATACTACCTATACAGCACTTTGCTTTTCAAAACACTAAAAAATTTTAAACTTTTTGCTCAATAAAAATCTGATATCCCAATCTGAAATTCATGTAGTAAACCTCTGTGACTATTTCAAATTTTGAATTAGTAGAGCAAAAATTAAGGATTTTTAAAATTGCATTACAATTTTCTATTATTCTTCTAACTTTTTCTTCACAGAAAGCAGAGGTTTCCAATATTTTCATAATCTAATGAAAATCTCTGGGGCCCGCCCTGTGGCCGAGTGGTTAAGTTCGCGCGCTCTGCTGCAGACGGCCCAGTGTTTCGTTGGTTCAAATCCTGGGTGTGGACATGGCACTGCTCATCAGTCCACGCTGAGGCGGCATCCCACATGCCACAACTAGAAGGACCCACAACTAAGAATATACAACTATGTACCAGGGGGCTTTGGGGAGAAAAAGGAAAAAAATAAAATCTTAAAAAAAAAAAGAAAATCTCTAGAGGAAACCATTCCCTTAGTTTCAACTCACTGTCCCCAAAGTATACCACCAGTAAAACAAAAAAAAAATAAACAAAAAAGATTCGACCCCAAGCTCCGTCCCCCAAAAGACCCTTTTACCCATTGTTTTTAATATAGTCTTCAGAGTTATTAAATCAGGGTCTTTTTTTTAGTTAGGTAGCAGATATTCAGCTTTATCCATAAATGTATTCATATATTCTCATCTTCTGCTCACTGAAGAATTAACTATGCTATGTAAATACATATATTTACTAATACAGATTCACTCAGTGTAACATACTTAAAAAGGCATATATCTCTAAATAGGTCCAATGATTTTAAAAAAAGATACTCCAGTTCTAAAAATGCAGCACCTCTAGGATAACTGCATTCATTATTAAGTCTCTAGGTACAGATGAAGGTAAACTTGCAGGATTGTTCCTTGGCAATGAGTAACACTGACGAGCTCTATCTCCATGAACTAGCTAACTGCTTATTATGCCAAGATATTCTGAGAGTACTTCACATACTTTATCTCATGTAACCCTCATTTACAGAGAAGAAAAAAGTGTCAGAGAGATTAAGCAATTTATTCTAGGTCATGTAGGGAGCACGGCTGGAAGGATGTGAATTCATTTCAGACACAACACAAAGAGGTACATTATGAACAAGACCTAGTAAATGCAATGAAGAAGCTATCCAAAGAAGCTCGCTGAACTGAGCCAGAAGATATTACCACTAGTTATCTATGTGGGCTTGGGCAATCATCTCTCTGGCCTATGCCTCAGTTCCCTTACTATAAAATGAAAAAGTGAGGCTACTCTGATATGTAGCAATGTTTAAAAAGTTGGCACACTAAACTAAAGGTTATAAATTCACAGCCAGAATATTAATTATATTATTATAAATTCACAATATCCAGATTTTCCAAGAATCTAAACTACTCTCATCTTTCAGAATTTTTAAATTTAACTTAAAGAAAACTGGATGTTGCTGAATCACCTTGGGTGACCAAACCAATCCCACTCCAACTCTTTTCGCTTGTCCACCTTGAGGCACCTCTTAGAATGACACACCCAAAGAAACATTTTCAACTCCAAAAGCATTGCTAAGTAAGATATATTTTGCTGAAGGCCCTTCCTCAAAATCCTCTTTAATTATCTTTGTTCTTTCCCCAAAGTTTCCCTCCCCAGAATAGTGGCCACCTTTCTTTCTTTCCTATTTCCACCAATTTCTCTGGCCTCGTCTCCACATTTTCTCAAAATCCTATTTGCTTGTACCCAGCAAAACAAATGTCCAGGAGTAGGCCAAAACACATCCCAACGAGGTTCCAGTGCATAAAAGAAATTGTAATACAGTACTTTACTTCCAAATCCTTTAACTTCTCCTGATCAACCCATGATCTGGAAATTCTATCAGTTCTACTGATGAAGATTTTATAAAGCAGCCTTCCTATCCCGTTTTCTCCCCTGCCCTGCTCCAAAGCCACTGCCATATGGAGCCAGTATAACTGATGAGAGTAAGCTTTATGTAATGAAAGTAATCTCACATTTGTTTCTAACTGTATTTACTGTATCACATGTTCAATTCAGAGGCTATCTGGAACTTCACAGCAAAGATACTAAAAAGTACATATCTCAATACCCACCTTCCAAACTGCGTGATTTTGATTTAGACTCATCTGATTACGAAAAGAACAGCATTATTCTCCCCCACTTAGTTTCTTAAAGTGTTCAAAGTTCTTTATACATAGTATTTCAATTTTTTGTCAATAAGCAGAGTACAACTTACTTGCCAGAGGAGGGAAATCGAATGAAAGAAAGAAAGGGAAGCCCCTTATGTAGTTATAAGCAAATTTATGACACCAGTCACTAACCCATGTACTCATCTAGACAATAGAACCTAAATTACCATGAGGTTATCATCAATGATCATTTACTCAGAATCAGAGATTTAGTACAACACCATTTTTGAACTTCAGGTCCAATTTGTGATTTTTCAATAAATTTATCTTGAAATAAGATATTCTACAAAGAATGACAAACTACTAAGACAGCAAAGGTGAAACCAAGCTATGCATTGGGAAAAACAATTCTAAATTTAGCACCCTAAATTACAGCAAGGAAAGCCCTCACACCACCATTCACAAGTCTCAATTCAAGCAATTTATTTTTGGCAAGCCAAATCACAGCTGTCAACGCTGTTTTTTTTCCATCCCAAAATTACATAAAGCATTTTGAAAAATGTAGACATCTTCAACCGGGGGAAAAGCAAGCTACAAATGCCGTGTGTCGTCATAAATACTTTTTTAAAAAGTCACACGGAAGGGGGTTAAAAAAAAAAAAAAGCAAACAAACAAACCCTGGAAGATGCAGCAGAGCCCCCTTGCTCCCGAAATAAAACTCCTGGTGGCTGTAACAGCAGCGGCAGCGCTACTCCCGACAGAAGTTTTCAGCTGTCACTTCTAACAGCTGAGCGCTTCCTAGGAGAGAAGCGACAGGCCGAGAAGAGAGGTGGTTGTGGGAGGTCTGAAGATTTAATACTCGAAATCTTATACTCCAGGGAAACCCTTCCGCACTTCACCTGCACTTACGGGACACCCAGCAAGCGCAGTCCCCCTCCCCCCAACACATGCTCACACCACTCGCGCCCCGCCACACTCAAGTCCAGCAGCTCGAGGAATCCAACACACGCCCTTTCTGGTTCCCTCCACCAACAGGCTGTTCCGGGCTGCGCTGATCTGGGGCTAAGGGCACGACCTGCACCTGCGAGCCCCTCAGCGGCCTCACACTTAGGGCCAGGTCCGCCCCGCCCGCTCCCTTGCCTCGGGCCGCTCGGCGCCTCGGCTCCTCCCGGAGGCTACTCGCGCCCCCCGGGGTCTCCACGCTCTCGCACGCGCCCGGCTTCCAGGGCCCGCGCTGCCGTCCCAGCCCTGTCACCTCGGGCCCCCCGGGACCCCGGGCCTCACCCCCTCCTCCAGCTCATCCTCAGAGCCTGCGTCCTCTGGCTGGTCCAGGTCTATGTCAAACACTCCTGCCATGTCCTCAGCTTCCCTGTCTCGGAAGTCCGGCGCTGGGTAAAAGCCGTCCCGCCTCCGTCGTCGCCTCATGGGCCCGGACCCGCCGCAGCCACCGCCGCCGCTGCCGCCATCACCGGCTGCTTGGGCACAGTGCGTCTGCGCTTAGGCCCTGGACTGGCTCCTCAAGTTCAGCGCTGGAGCATGCGTACACGGTTCTGTGAAGCCGAACTGTGGGCAATGAACATGCGTAGAACTATCGCCAGCAGCCAGGTACCGGCAGTAACATGCGCAGAACCCCAGCCGAAGCCGCTCTTGGAAGCTAGATCATGCGCATTTTCAGCTGCAGCTTTTGATGGACAGTGAGCATGCGTACCATCTGTGAAGTTGATAAATTGAATTTGAACATGCGTAATTAACCTTTCTGAATAGGAAAAAAAAATACACAGAACTCTTCGTTTGTGGAACATGCGCATTCGTTCTCTGTAGCTTTTTTAGTGTTGAAAGTGAGCATGCGCATAATGAGAGGGTTGTCCCTTCGACATTTGAACAAGACGGAAACCGCTGGTCCTGGTGCTGTCAGTGAGTGGGGTTAATGGGGCGCTCCTGGAGCTGGTGGGGAGAGGGAGCGTCTTGGCTTTGCTATGTATTATTTCAGTGGCCTTGCGAAAGTCACATAATTTTTCAGAGCCTCAGTTTCCTTATCTGTAAAATGAGAATAATGATAGCTGTTTTGCAGGGTTGCTTGAAAATTGGCTCACAAGCCACTGTTCTTTTCCAGTGCTGCACAGACGTGGTGTGCGGTCTTTATCAAAAATTGTCTCTTTTCATTGCTAAAAATAGTGAAGACTTGCTCTGGTATTTCATGTGGTCTTCTTTGTCCAAGCTTCGTCTTCCTCGCTGTCCTACCCGAGCTAAACACCTAGTCTTTGTTGTAAGTGTTACTGTAGTTACCAGCCCGGAAAGGTGATTGGTGGAGGGAGAAAGTCATTATTTAGAAGAGAGAGAAATAATGCTGATTAAATGTAGAATTGTTGAGCGAACTTCTGCGTTCTATGTGTCCCAGTGGTGTGAAGTGTATACTACGAATTCCTTCAACCAACATTCATTTTTTTGTTTAAGTGCATGCTTAAGAAAATAACGATTACAAATCAGATTTTGGAAACTATTGAGCTGTGTATCAATGGATTTGGGTACAGTAAATTCCAAATCCCAAAACCATAGAAACAGAACAACTTCCCTGAATGCTTGGCTCCTTAGTCAACATAGCTATTTCATCTGTAAAACCATATACATACATGGCATTTTAAAATTACGTTTTTTATTGATGTACAGTAACACATAGGGCATTTTATTTGTTCTTTATTTATTAGTAATGTAGTAGTTCTGAAAGCCTATATTTTTCTATTACAGGTTGCTCACTGTTTTGAGGAAATAGGCCTAGTTTGTGTCTCAGCATGTCAATAGTAACAGTGCAACTTGGTCAGTGTGGCAATCAGATTGGTTTCGAAGTGTTTGATGCTTTATTTATTGACTCACACTGTCCCCAGAGACTCTCCTCTAAAAGAGAGAATGAAGCATATCAAGCATCCTGCAAAGAAAGATTCTTTAGTGAGGAGGAAAATGGAGGTATGTGTGGTCCTCAGTCCTCTCCTCTGCTCTGACATGACCGACCTCCTCAAGGCCAGACCCTCCACAGTGTCTGAACCTCACCCCTTCCCGTCTTACTGGAGAACGCTCTCCACCCTTTGTTTCTGTGTTAAGAACCTTTGCCTCTCCTGTGGCATCTTCCCTTCAGCTGGTGAGAATGCTCAGAGCTTACCAGTCTAAAACCAAACAAATAAAACTTGTCTCTTGACTGTAGCTTTTTTCTTCTTTCCTGTCTCTTTGCCTTCTCATCCAGGATTCGCAAAGGAGAACCCTCTTTAACCAATATAATTCTGCTTCTTCCCTACAACACCACTGAAGCTGCTATAAGAAAAGTCTGCAGTGGTCTCGCAATTACCAGATTCATTGACTGTTTTTCTTTTCTTAATTCACTTAACTTCTTTACTGGATTTGATAACAGTAACTATAAAACTCCCTCCTTGAAATTCCTTCTCCTTCATCTCTGAACTTTTCTTCTCCACTGGTTGCATCTTAGGCTGTCCTCAGAGCAGTTCTCTGTGGGCAATTTTAGTCACTCTCATAATTTGCTTCATTTTTACACGAGTGACTCTCAAATCTCTTTCGGGCTGCACGCTGATTACTGGACATCTCCACCCGTATCTGCCATGTGCCTCTGAAACTCCATATCTCCATACCCAAGGGCTCCTTAAAACTTAGGCTCTTATTGCCCCAAACAGTCAAACATCAAAATCTGCTTAAGTTACCTCCTACATATCTCTTGAGACTGTTCTCCCCTTTCCATCTTCATTGTCATTACCTTAGTTCTAGCTTTTATCCTCTCTCACCTGGACTGTTTCAGGATACTCCTTCTGAGTTTCCCTGCCTAGACTGTTGTGTCTGTCACATCTGTCCTCTACACTGCTGTGTTAAAAAAGGCATCTGACTATTCCCTCCCTGCTTGAACATTTTCACTGGTTTTGCATTGCCTAAAAGACCAATTTTAAGCTTTTTAGTATTGCATCCAAGGACTTCCAAGATCTGAGCCCTGCCTGCTTTCCATCCGCATCCACCCCCTTCTTCCCATCTTCTTCTTCAACATTCCTGAGCTGCTTGTTATGCCCCTGGTATTTTGTACCCCTGAATATGCTACTCCATTGGTATGGCTTTGTCATGGGTCATATCACATCATACTGTGATTGAGTGTTGATGTGTTTTGTCTAACCCACTGGTCGTTCTAGGACTGAATTGATGCTGTTTTAATCTCTGTATTCCCAACACAGTACATGGTATATTGTGAGCATCAACAGATATTTGTAGACCTGACCCAATGATCATTTTAGCCCACATCGATTCATCCTGCCTAGCAGAATGTTAGCCGTTATGAGCCATCTCCATATACCTGCTGTTGCCTACCTTGATTTCTAAGCAGTAAAGCGCTATGACAGATCTTTCTATCCTCAACCTTTGGGTTGTTTGGGGGGGCGGTTTTTGGACCTAGAAGTTTATGCTCTGAGTTAACCTAAATCAGACATATGAAATATTTATCTTTTGATTTTTTTCCCTCTCTAGTTCCAATTGCCCGGGCTGTACTTGTTGACATGGAACCTAAAGTTATCAATCAAACACTATCAAAGGCTGCCCAGTCTGGCCGATGGAAATATGGCCAGCATTCAAGCTTCTGTCAAAAACAAGGTTCGGGAAACAACTGGGCGTATGGGTAAGAATAATTCCTCATGATTTTCACTTTAGATAAAGCTACACAGTCGATCAACAGACAGTGTAATTACAGCGGCACAGTTGATATACCAAGCACATAATTGCAAAATTGCTGTTTTAAAATTTAAAGTATGACTTCACCCAAGAGAAACTCTCATTCTTTTCACGTAGGTGTGTGCTCAGGTCCAGGTAGTGATGAAACCAGGGATCTCTTGCAGCAGCGTTTTCCACTTCTTCACTGTCATTCTGTCAACTAACTTATTTATCAGATAATACAATATCTTTATCTGGCAGGTATTCCAGCTAATAGGGAATACAACAAGGCAGTAGTATTTCCTGGGGTTCTTTGGAAAATTCCAGTACCTAGGGCTCACTTCCAGAAATTCTGATTTAATTGGTTTGGGATGAAACCTGGATGTTGAGATTTTTTCAAAACTTCCCTAGGTGATTCTAATGTGCAGCAAAGTTTGAGAATCACTGCTTTAGGAGTATTATTATGAATATTGAATATTGTACCATAAATTTCCAAAACTGTCTGGTAATTGAAGTCTCTGGCTAAGTCTCCATTTTATGGGAATGACTTATAAAAGAGAATTTTCTGTACCCAGTAAATTCACTCTCCTAGCAGTCCTATTCACTTGTTAAGTACATTTAACAAGTTAACTTGTGTATTTCAATTTTTGTCCATCAGGGTACCTGTGCCTTTCATGAGAGTTAGTTCATTCCCATAGGTTTAAAAAGGCTTCTCTATCCTATATCATTCTCTCTGCATTGCATCTCTTCGGTTAAATTGAAAGGTATTTGTATTTGTTTCTTTTGCATTGCCTAGTTACTCTGTTCATGGACCCAGGCATGAAGAATCTATAAGGAACCTAATCCAGAAGGAAGTGGAGAAATGTGACTCTTTGAGTGGTTTTTTTATCATAATGAGTATGGCTGGGGGCACAGGATCAGGGCTAGGAGCCTTCGTTACACAGAATTTACAAGATCAGTACTCAAACTCTTTGAAAATGAATCAGATTATATGGCCTTATGGAACTGGTGAGGTATGGAATATTAATTGAAAATTTTCTATTTTGTATTCTTTGCAGTTGAAATAAATGTAGATGAAAGATTGATCTTACCCTTTGGAAACCTTAAGGTACTGCTCTAGGAGTGATTATACACTATAGTACTTTCATGAACAATTTGTTTAACTTTGCTTAAACATTTCCAAATAAATGAGATATCCTTGTTTTTAAAAATTCCAAAGAAAGGGCCGGCCCTGTGGCCTAGTGGTTAAGTTCGGTGTGCTCCACTTTGGCCGCCTGGGTTGGGTTCCCCAGGCATGGACATTTGCCACTTGGCGGCGGCCATGCTATGGCAGTGACCCACATACAAAATAGAGGAATATTGGCACAGGTGTTAGCAACAGTCTTCCTTGGGAAAAAAAAAAAAAAAACAACACAGAGAGAGAAAGATTGCCACCAGATGTTAACTCAGGGCAAATCTTCATCAGCAAAAAAAAAAATCCTAAGAAGACAATTGTGCATCTTCTCTCAGAAACCCATTCCTATGTTAGTCCCTCTGGCTACAGTATGTAAGCAGGGACCTTGACCTCATGTTGGAATTCATGGTGCCATTGCCAACCTTAAAAGAATTTTCATTTCTTTTCATTGAGAGGAAATTTCTATACAGGCCAGTTTCCTGTTGATCTGCCTAGTAGGGGAAATGATAAAACAGAGGTGAGATAAGTCACTATAGGAAATGATGTAGGAGGAAAGCGTGATGGTAGTAGTCACCGTTTACTGAGCCCTTTCGATATGCAGGCTGTTCTAAGGGCTTTACTTGCATTCTGTCATTAATCTT